CTGCAGCCGGCCAAGATGTTGCTGCTGCAGATGCTGCTGCTGCTGCTGCTGCTGCTGCTGATGATAATGTTGCTCTTGCCCCCGGGCCTGGAACGAAAAAACAGAGAGTGGAAGAGAAAGCTCGTGAAAATCTTGTTCATGCACATGCAAATTGGGTGACAGCCATTATATTTGAAGGCGTGCCTCATCGCAGTAATTATGGGTGATAAGCGGGCTTGTCGCTGGCAAATGGAATGTCAAGGAGTTCCCGCTTTTAATCATGGGTTTCGCTATAGGTAAATTAGGCAATAATATTATTCATTTTTCAAACGTATCACTGTTACACCAAAAGATATTCCTTGGGAGTTGAAACCGTCTTTTTAGTAAGTTGCTGTAATTGTTGTTCCGAGTTTTTTATAGTCTTAGTTACTAATGCCACTAAAGTGGATTCAAAACATTTTCGATACATACTTTGGACTAACTTACTATTGCTTACTATTAGCCACCAAAACACTTGTTCTATTCATTGGGAAATGCTTTAAAAATACTGCTACCCACAAAATGTGACAAAATCGTGTAATCCGCAAGGTATTTTAAGCCTCCTTTTGAGTTTCGACTCATTTTACCTGACGAAATGGTGAGTTGACATTATTTCCATACAATTGTCAAGGAAGCCGCCAGAAACCAAGACTTGGGCAAGCGAGCAATCAGTGCGGTGTACACCATTGCGTATGCTTGATACGTTATGAATGCGCTGGCTTATCGCCCTGCGATCGAAGTTGGCCGACTGCGAGTACGAGTGTGTGGCATTGCACAAACACCCAGGCAACAATACGTCTTGCCGCCTCCCCACACCTGGCAATTGTTTACCGCCCACAGTTCCACGATTCCAAAGATCTACAGCTACAGCCGCCCCACCGCCCACCACCCCCCGCGTTCACGTGTTTTTTGTCACACACAAATGCCAATTATAATGAGCGATTACATAAAGTCGAAGCAATTTCTTCTGCCTCACATGCGGCATCGTAAAATGGCTTTTAAGCTGCTTTCGGTACGTTCGTTAGCCGTTTTCATCTGCGCTCTTCTTCTGCCTCCTTTCCCTCTTTCCCCTCTCTTTTTATACTTGTCTGCTGTTTTTTCATACGCCACAAGCGTTATATCCATATGTTTTTCTAGTTGTCACATTGCCAGCACGCGGCGAGAATACCAAAATTAATTTTTATTTGCCATTGCAAAAGGTTTTTAAACAAAATATTATATACGAGCCAATGTAAATAAAAGAGCCAAAGCTGCTGATTACGCAAACGTCTTGGCCGACAATGTGTTTTGGTATTGGCCCCATCCAAAGGAAACTGCTGGCCAAAAGTGTGTTTACATATAGTGTCTTGTTTATACCAAATGGAATTTTATTGGCGATTATTTGTCAATTGCAAGGCGGAAAGCAAACCGGCCCCAAAATGGGGATTTCCAGTCGAAAAATTGCCGGATTGCCCTCGGTAACTCTGCATATTAGCGAGTAATTAAATAATTAATACATTATGTAAAACTCGTTGCCGAATAATGGTGAATTCAATGTCTTTCTCTCTTTCTTAGGGGATGGAACTACTTTACTAAGCAACTCCAAATTTATTTTAGATATTAATGTTTAATTTAGAATCAAGACAGCAAGAAGACGAAGAAAATACCTTAGAACAAAACTTTCACCTACTACCTAGCAATTTGAATTCTTGAGTCATGATAAACACTTATCAATTAACTAAGAATCCCCTAAAAGATCAGCAAGAAGTCGTAAATCTTTTCGCCTTCGGTTCAGCCGCCACAGAATGATAATTCCAATGCCTTTTATGTGGAGTGGGCTCTAAGGCCAATCAAGCTGTGAGGCGGTCAACAGCTTTTTGGCCTGGTCAATAAAAATGCTTCGCATATTAAGCAGCCTGAAACCGAAACGGAAAATGTAAACAATTGACAGCGAGGCACCTGAACAATATAAAAATCAACCTCATCTTGCGCAGAAGAAAAGACGGAATAATAAAAAAGAAACTTGATGAGCTGCAGTTTTTAGGCTAAGCTGCAGCTGCACCTGCCATTCATTTATTACGAAGATATAGCATATAGCATATAGCATATAGTAAATGCCATATATCTATAGGTATGCAAATCGCTTTCAACGCATGCAGCGTTTTGTTTGATTTCTTTTTGTTAGCTTCATCGCAACGAACGGTTCACAATTTCTGAGGGAGGCAGAAATCTTTAGGTTTTCCCGATGGGAAACCGCAGGTATTGACAGTTGGGGTGAAAGTGATAATGCCCAGCTGACTTCGGGCCAAGAATCCAGCGATTAGACACGCAGCTAAGCAACTAATCTCGGCCTTTACATGCGAATGCGGAAGAAGATGGGAAATGAAATGGGATAGAGATATTTTAATTTCCAGAAATTAAATCAAATTAAATTTATTGCCATTTTGCATAGAAAAAAAACAAAACCTGCCGCCATTAGAAATGTGAAAGTTTACTTTTCCCTTTGGCCACTCGCGTTTTGTGTTTTCCTTTTTTGTTTCAGAGCTAATGAACTGTCTTGGCCATGATTTAGTGATGCTGCAGACGGCCGTATAGGTGTTGAAAATAATTGGGATAATTCTGGGCTTACTGTTGGTTGCACAATCGAGTTATTATTATATTCGACCACTTTACATCATCACTGGACAAAAAGGACCTCAGACTGCGTGAATTTTGTTGACTGCCTCGCAACTAACTATCCAACGAACCCTTTATTTTTGTTTTGGCCGCGTTGCCGTGGCAAATTTCAACCACCAAACCGCCCTTGCAGCCCTTAGCCAACTGAATTGTCTGGCTAGCTGGCTAGCTGCGAGCAACCCCCAAACGTAAATACACCACTGCGTATGCTTTATATGGTAAACAACGCCGACGGGTCGATAGTTGCCTTATGTTCGAAGGGTAGTTCCTATTTACCACTTACGGCCCTCTTGAATGCTTACATTACTCAGGCTTTGTGCCTCTATGGATGGGCTTAGGCTAAACTAAATGGGCTAAATTGAGGCAGACAAGTGATCCCGCTTATCTGCCCACTGATTACAGAGTGAGTCATGGCTTATCGAGTGGCGAGATGAGGGAAATTTGACACACCACTTTTGGTAATAGTGATAGAAGCAAAACCAGCATGCAAACGAGCGTTAACTGCATTCCAAGCTTGGTTGCCTTCAGCGCCTCAAAGAACGGCAACTGCAGACTGCAGACTGCAGACTGTAGACTGCAGATTGTAGAGTCTGCGATTTGGACTGGGTCTGAGTCTTGGACTAGGTCTGGCTATAGCCGCGTAAGGCACAGAGGCGTATAATTAGCGTGCAGCATTGGCAAAGTGAAGCTAATGGAACCGAACAACACAGAAACATGGCCACGGAACATGGCTAACCGTAATTCCGAAACCGTAAGCGGGGAATCCGACATGACATGGAAGAAGAGGTCAGTTCGGAGGCCAATTCGCCCGTGTGCGAATGTGGAAAAGCACACCGACCGAATGGAGCTAACAGTTAAGTCATGGCGGAAACCGGCCAAAAAGAATGCGTTAATATATGATTTCATTTAATGCCCTGGTGACAACAATCAACAGCGGGTGAGTACCCGAAAAAGTTAGCAAGCTTGATGATTTCAAAACCCAATACTTCCTGGCTCATCAAACACGAAGATGTTTATTGATCGCTTCTTGTTCTAACGACTGAGCAAAAACGTTGTAAATTATATGTTGTTATGAAACTACACGATTCCTAAGGTCTTTTCTCCATTGGAAGCCTTGTCTTATTGGAGGCGCGTGTAAGAGTTAGACAACCAAAACAAGGAAGTGTGGCATTTCATTTCGTTCTTTAATTACCATTAAGAGCTGGTTTGGCTCGGTCTAATCCCAGCGGAAATCGAAGTTTTAGCCAGGCGATCGGAGATTCGGAGCCTGTTCTTGGTGAAATTTCGCTTCTACCCGATGGCTATGTATGTATGTGGAATTCGCCAAGTGGTTTGGCTAGATTCTTTCAAGAGCACACTAGCACCACGCAGATTTTCTGGTGGGCGTTTCACTTTTGCCAGCTTTCATTTCACTCTTGGCCCAAAATGAGCCCACTTGTTGCACTCGATTTCGGCTGCTGCACTGCTGTCGCTTTGGCATACATGCCCTATTGCACATTATCTAAAATATTTATGCTCATATCGCCCCTTCGAGCCGAAAACACAATCAAACACAAAAACACGCGCAGAGGAGTGCCGAGAAAAACACGGGAAAAGCAAGACACGCAGCAACTCCAAACGTCTCCACCGACCGACGACCGCCAACCGACTGGCGAGTGCTGCTGCTGCCGTCGACGTTGCTGCTGCTGCGACTTCTGCTGCTGCTGCTGCTGCCGTCGACGCCACTTTGCCGTTGATGGCTGCTGTCGATTGCCATTGGCGTCGCGGCGCAGCTTAGTTGCTGGTGCGCACGATGTTGCGCTACTGATATTGCTGCTGCTGCTGCTGCTGCAACTGCCGTTCTTCTTGGGGCACCGAAAAAAACAACTAACTATTCTACACTATTTTCTCAGATATTAGAGAAACGTGTGCAAATACATGTCCTTGCTGAAAGGAACGAAGTGATACTTTGGCTTTTGTAGGTTAAGCTAAGCTAATCACTTATTATTAATTTCTAATTATAAATATTCTAATTTCTAAATATTCTAATTTCTAAATATTCTAATTATTATTATAATTCAAATTATAACAAAATAAACCAATACTGCGCACAAATAAAGTTGCAAATAGTGATGAAGATCATCAAGCTTGTATTAAAATAGAACATTTAATTAATTAATGAGTTTGCTTTATTTTCATAAAATTTTTATAATATTTTTGCTAAAAGCTAGCTTAAATGTACTTTACACAGATTAGATTTTAAGGCATCCTTACAACTGAACATTTTTAAATTATATTTAATATTACAATTTAATGATTCAACATTTTAAAGCAAGGAAAAAGTGGAACAAAAAACCTTGAACATTTAGCTCATCGAAAGTCAAGCCAGCATTTTCCAGCCTAAGTGTTCCATTTTAACTGGTGGAAACCAGTTGTTGTAATAGGATATCTTATCAGAAAACGTGGATTAATCTGTAAGTCCCCATGAATAGCTAAGCAGTCAATTCAATATATCTAAATATTATCATATATTATCAATATATATTATAGCAGATCATATAAAAATCATATTTTTCTCACAGTGCCCTGCAGCTCCGCTTCGGAATCGTGGATCTTGGATCGTGGCGTTCGTCTCGCATTCTTGTGCATTGGCTTTTGGCGCTGCATTTTGTTCTGATTCTGTGTCTGTTTCTGTTTCTGTTTCTGTTTCTCTTTCTGTATGTGTTTCTTTTTCCGTTTCTGCTGCTTAGACTTTTCTCCAACTGAGAACCGCATTTCTCCGCCGGCATGCGACCCACAAAAGAGGATTTGGACTTGGAGATCTCGAGTTGCTGGCGGAGGAGCCACAAAGAATCGCTTGTGCACGTTCGTTCGCACTGACAGTGCTGGCTTTTAATTAGGCAAACAAATTTTAATTAAGTCGCAGCGCCTCTAATTGATTTGGCAGCTCCATTAATTCAGGGATTGGCATGTCTGCGAACTCTAAATCGCTTCTTGGGGCGCCTGGGAAGCGCAAACTCGTTCTCTAGCCGCCCGAACAGCAGAATGATTCCACGAAGCTTGGAGACCCCGAAAAATGTACTTCAATCACTGCCCATCAATCGGCACGAATCGGTTAAGCCGCTGTTAACGAAACCGGTCCGAGTGGGGAAATTCAATACCAGTTCTTGTCCAAGTTCAGCGGTGTCAAAAACAGACGGCCGCAAAAACAGAAACACACAAGAGTAAATACAAAAAGTAAACAAAGGCAAATAACCAAAAAAAAACAAAATAAAAGCAGCGCTGCGCCGGATCCAAAACAAATCGAATATTTAACGGCTGTGCGAGTGGGATGGCCTGCATTTTGGGTGACCATTTGTCGCTGTTAGCGGACAGTAACAGCTTAACCCTTTATCGACTCACGTAATGAGGGAACAAATTATTAACATTTCTTTTAAATTACAAAATTAGTAGAAAAGTACGCAAACAAAATGAACTAAATCTTATATATTATAGCATACATTGTTAAGCTATGCTTGGTATTTGGCATTAGAGAGATTTAAAATTTCTGTTTAAAATACAAATTATTTGAAACGGGGATTATAACAACTACCTGCTAATAAAGACGAAATTCGAATGGGTTAAGAAATGGGCACAGAGTTAAAAGGAATTTTGGCATTTCGCAAAGTTTCGGCGCGCACGAAAAACTCAAAAATCTCAGCGACCTGCAAACCTGGTTTTCGTTTTCCTTTTCATTTTCATTTCCATTTCCATGCCATTCAATGCAATGCGAAAAACAGCAGTGAGCTGCTTCGAAAACCGGGCAAATAAAAACCGACGCCCATACATACTCGTACATGGGCTTGTCAGCGCAACCGCTTTGTACTTGGTGGATGGATCATCGTCGTCATAATGAGGGGTATGATCATGATGATCACCATGATCTGGGGCGGTTTATGAGGCTGTAGCACCCGGTTGTACGGTTGCCACATGTGGCAACTTCGTTTCCACAGCAGGCACTTGTTGCGCGCCGTATCTTCGCATCTGTATCTTTGTATCTGTCTCTGTAATTTGCATTAAGTGGCTGATTTTCCTTCGGCTGATTTCGTTTTCGTTTTAATTTCAGTTGTTTTTTGTTTTTGTTTTTTGGGGCGGCTTTGGGTGGGGCTTGAACGGTGGGGCAACGGGGCGTATGAGAAACCATGCCCATTAATCACGAGCAGCTGCGGTAATGCAAAACTTTAATTATCGTTACCATTCCGGCTGACGAAACTACAGCGCAAGAAAAGCGCCAACTTATTGTTTTTGTTTGGTCTATTTAATTTATTGTACAACTGCTCGGAGAAAGAGCAGAGCAGAGATGAAATCTGGGCGCAGAAAATAAATTTAAAGCACTTTCCAACTGTCATCAAGTGTCTCCGGTTGCATGCCATTTGTATTTTAGCCGCCCTGCAAAGCGAAGCCGATGGTAAATCTAATGGAAAAGTGCGGTGAAAAGACGTATTTGGAGATTAAAGCCGGCTCCGTTGGCCTTGGCAGGGGTCTTCGAGTTTTGTGCTCCCAACTCAGCCCCCAAACGTGATTTGTCCAGAATTAAATCGGAACCACGTACGATCGGTGGTTGCTGGTCGTGGCTGGTTGCTTGGAATCGTGTTTAATCACTGAAAACAAAGAGTCCCATATCGGCAAAAGTACAGAATTAACTGCAAGGTGAAAGTGGGCAAATGTGTGGCGCAGTGAATCAGTTTACAAGGAAATCTGGTAGCCTTATAAAATAAACCGATTGGAACATATTTTAATTGAGAAAAGCTGGGCAACGTTCAACATTTTACTTGGGAAGAAATGTATCCATATAAGTTAGTCACAAGAATAAGAGTCGCTCTTCTAAAAGGAAATAGAGCAGCGCCAATTAGTCCGAATGGTAATTTTCTTTTATGCGATTTCGTTAAATCTCTACTATTCGAAACACTTCATGAATTCTTTTCTAAAAATTATCTGTGCAATATATTTGTATTTATTTCTTAAAGCTATTACAATCATGTAGAAAGATTTCACTTAATTTTTATGAAATATGTAAATGCTAAGCTTCTTTTGCGGTTCCACCTCATTATGGGAATTGCTCGGGGACTATTTTCTGCCCATCCGCTAACCAGTTTTGATCTCTTGCTCATGGACAGGTGATGTCTCATCGATGTTTTGGTTCGATCAACGAACTCTCTAGGCCAGATTTGGTGCTTCAGCACCTCCAAAATCACCCACTCGCAAAGGGTGACACAGTTTAAACGGCTCTGAACCATATAGAATGCTTGACAGGCCACGAAAAAGTTATTGAATGTGAAACGACTGTCTCACGACCCGCGATTGTGGCCAAGTGCCGAATGCATATCAATTAGCGGATTTCACGAGCCAAATCCGAGACGAAATAATGGCCAGCCCCGAAGAACCTGCAGGTGAAGCTGCCAGCTTCATTGGCATTCGCAGCTTCGATCGGCGGTCGATCGATTAAGTCAACTTAATTCACGGTGCAGTTTTCCCAATGAAAATGTCACCAAGTATGCCAGCGATGCCGATGACGCGTTTGTTTCTCCTATTGTTGTCTTGCTAAACTTCAATATATGTTTATATGCAGTTTTGCAACGATAACTGCTGATGGCAGAGCTACAAAGTTCAATGGCTGGTACGACGAATGCATTCGCCAAGCAACTGGCCCAAAGGCGAATCTACACTGGCAGAAAATGGCTTTGGCTGTGTGATGTTTGTGTTTAAGTGGCATTTATAAAATACTGGCTAAATGTTATCACATTCTTAGGAAATTAAAAGCAAAGGAAAAGGATTTATGGGAAATGAGTTATCTAAAATATCATTAATAAGAAACATTTATAAGTTCCAGATATAACCATTTGAAGGCTATAATCACTTGGCAAGTAGTACGTTTATTTAAATATTTAAAATTTTAAATACACATATGTATGATTATAAATCATTTCGGCTTTTCTAAATTTTGATGAACATAACTTTGTCAAAATTTTCCCCAGTGTTCCGTGTGGCCACTCGAGTAAGAGGAATATTGTGCAGCTCTGTCTACAGGTTTTGACCAGCATCAGCTTCGCATGAGTCACGGATCGGTGCGGTGCTGACTGAATTGGAATGCCAGGGAAAAGTCCACCAGACTTTGGCTAATTCCGACCAGGGTTGTCAGCGCCTGTTAGCTGCACCTACGAATTACAATTACGAGCATCGGACTATCTATTTGTATCTGCGAGCTACAAATTCACATTACGCCCACGCAGCACAATTTCGTGTGCGGCCGCCGTGGGCGTGGGCTCTAATTATACGGCCAGTACTTAGACATCTGACAATTGTTATGCAAAGAAGCTGATCTCAAGATGGTCACCCCTCTGAGATCATGTGAATGAAAATGGAAAGTGGTTAGCCTCCCCTCGCTGAGCTGTAATCTTTGGCTATAATTTGCCGACTGCATAACTAACAGAGTTATTATGGTGATTTCTTCTGCGACGACAAACGCTAAACGGAAGCCATGACCAGGCCACTCCACTCGACTCAATAAAACCCGCAGACATTGCAGAATTACACTCGTCAGCATCGTGTGTGTAAACTGGTACTTGCCTTGTAATGAGGCCGGAAGAAATCGTGGCAATTGTAACGGTGGCAACGTCTCGAGTCGCGATGAAATGGAAACTGGTAGTGCAACAATGAAGTTGGCATGTAAGCAAGGGTTAAACAAAAGTGCGTGAGTACGGACTAAACAAGAGATTAATTGAACGATATATAGTTTAAAAGCTGGAAGAGCAAAAATAACACAAATGAAGTTATAGAAAAATAAACAAAAATATATATACAAAAAGAATCGGATTGCGATCCGTTTGTTTGTTTTTCCCTCCCTGTGCGTCAAGTGAAGAGTGAGTAATGAGCACTCAAAGAACCCAGATTCATCACGATGCTAATCAATCGTCTTTCACTTTTCGGCCCCTCCCCGAATCCCCGCTAAACAACTTTCAAAGAGCGTAAAGACCGACCTTTATTTGCTTTTGGCAGCTTTCTAACTGCACGGCAACCAAAGCCGCAAATTGGCAAGAAGTGCGTAGACACTCGAAAAGGTATAGATATACCCAATTGCACATGTATGAACATTTATGGCAGTGTATTATTGTTTTTCCAAGAAAAGTGTCGATAAGTCCCGGAAATATCAGAGGCCATGATGTTTGCGCTTTGCAATTGCTTTCTGTTATGCCCCTTATCACGTATTTGTGCCAAGAATACTTACATTTTAAGGCCGTTTACTGCGCCCGCTGATGTGTAAAATGCTTATCCAAATTTGCATCCGAAGTGCTCAATTATTGCAGCCTTAAATCAATCAACTTGCTTTCTTCACTCCTTTCATTTGTATGCTAATTAGTCAATTGAATTGTTATGTAAGGCATATATGGGGCATTATCTTTCACGCTTTCATACACAAATCAGCCAGGGCGCATTATCATTTTAGCTATGTATGCTGTGGCAAATTTGTCGCACACTTTCCCGGGCAGAAGCCGCCGGAACTGGCCACATTTTTCCACTTCACTTTTCCACTTTTACTTTATTTCTAATTACTTCTTCGCCCGATCGCAAGTTGCAGCACTGGCTGTGATCAATCACATTACTCAGCCTCTTCGGCTTCGATAACAACTGGACGTGCAATATGGAGTATGGAATATCCAAACCGATTCGAACCGCGCTAATGGAGCTCGTAAGACGTTGATAGCCGGACTGAGACTGAAAATGAGACTGACTGATTTGGAGACCGGAGACGCGGACTGATACCGCCGGAGCGGTTGGGATCGGCTGGGATCGGGGTCTGGAGTGGAGCGGCATGGATCGTCATCGCGACGGCGAGAGCGTGCGAGAGTGAGCAGCCCCATAACAATGGGCCACCGAGCACCAGCTCCGATCGGCGAGCTCGGAAGCTCTGGGTAGCAGTCGGGTCGGGTCAGGCGCCCCGAAGCCCCCACATTCGTCCAAGAATCGGAGCGGGCACAGGGTGATCCGGCCCGAGCTTTCAGGCACTGCTCCCCTCTTGCCGGTGGTAAGTGACTGGCCCCATTTTAAGATTTTGTTTACTTTCTTGAAGTGATATAGTGCTTTCTGCCCTTTGGAAGAGTTCTTCGTTTAGCTCAGATA